GCCAGACCTCTGACAAAGCATCTCTTCCAAACCAGTTCTGGTCCTGCTGTATCCTCTCTTATAGCTTCCCCAGTGCCTAACCCTGGGCTCTCTCGCTCTGGGGAAAAAGAACACAACCCTTCTGTCAGGTGTGACCTCTTAATAAGATGCTGAATGAGCTGCACCTTTCTGCTCCCTTATCCCAGCAGCTGCGCTCTGCAGTGGTGGGTGAAGGTTTCGTACTCTGGTCCTGAGGCAGGTTCTTCACCTCTCTAGAGAGCTGATTGCCATGCTTGTGGAGAGTTTGGAGGGTGGTTTCCCCTCATGTGTACTTTTAGGGTCACTACATTCATCTGCCCCACTGAGCTGTGTAAGGGTTAATGAATTACTGTTTGTACAGCTCTTTGAAGATGAAAAATGCAATGGAAGGGCTCTGTTATTGTTACCATGTATGAAGACTTCTGTACCAAACCCAACTGTATTGTGTTTGGCCACTGGATGTCACAGCTGCTCAACACACAATACAGCTGAAATAAGAAAGGAAAAGTGCTTACCCAGCAGTGGGCAACAGCCACATTTCCAGAGCCATTATTTGTTTTGTGAAGAGTGTTTGTTTGTTAAGGGGCTTGGGGGTCTTCTCCTGTGTTTATGCACTGCTAATGCTGATTTTTCAGAGAGAATGAGCCGCAACTGTGCTTCCTCTAGATGTTATTACACTGGGAGATCAAGACCAAAATGAATATTTTTATGGAAGGAGGTGTAGATATGTATAAAATACCATTAACAGAGTGTGAGAAGGTGGTCAGGTATTTGCACATGCTGGCAAGTTGTCTTGTCACTGAGACAAGACACCACCATCCAGTTCACATAGAGCTCTGGTATGATGGAAAAATTTCTGCCAGGCTGGCTTTCAACAGCACTCCTTCCGTCCTCATGCTCAGGCCGTGTTCCTGTGTACTTCACACTAAATGCGGAGAGAAGATTGTTCTCCTTCCTAATACTCCCTTCACATTTTGTTTTTTTCAGAGTCTCAAGCAGGGATCTAGAACATGAAGTCACATTCAGCAGTGTCTGTAGAGCAGACCTACATAGACGTTACGAGAATTTTAATTACATTTCCTGGAAATGAAAATGAATAGGGATTATTTGACCATGTTCTCCTCTTTTTATAGCATCACATTATCCTTTGCACCACCTTGGGGAGATGGTGAGTGAAAGGCAGCTCATGCTCGTGGTGCAGAAATGATATGAACATTAAAGAGGGAAAAGTGTTTTAAAATAATCTGAGGGCTACAGCTATAACTAAGAGCAATTGGCTGAAACTGAGCAAGAGAAAATGTAGGTTGACAATGAACTAAAGGTAGCTAATGCCAAGGTCTGTTAGACCGTGAAATGGAATTTGCACAGGAAACCTCTGCTTTAAAATGGGCAAATCCTGTTTTTTGGAACATCAGTGTAAACCTCCAGTGTCTATCTCTGGCTACCTGAAAGCCCATTTCTATCACAAAGCTTCAGCAGAATCAACAAATGTATCTGAATTTATGTTGGTAGAAGGTGAATTTAGCCAAGCACACATCAAAATATTATATAAGAGGAAGGAGGCCTAAAGGGATTGTGTGAACTGGAGGAATGAATCCTAGCCCTTTTCTACTTCTGACTTCTGTGATCTCTGTATGCAGTCGAAAGCCAGGGGGCAAAAAAGAAAGGGAAAAAAAAAACCAAAACCATGAGCAAAATTTCAAAGAAGTGAGGGCTGTTTTTGGAAGAAAGATATAAAAACATTACAGAATTGTTGAATAAAAGGATCTTGTGCTTCAATCTTCGCAGCTGTTGCCAGCTTTACTCGGGGGTTTGGGCTTGCCAGCACTAGCTGCTTTTTGTCTTTCATAAAACTTGTGTCGGCTCTGAATACTTTTATTCATCCAGCATGACTTCAGCAGAGAGAGCTCCGTTTGAAGAGGTTTTAGACTTAGTTGCAACAGCCTAGATAGCCTGACTGAAGGCAATCTGTCCATCTCACATCAAACAGCCTGTTCCTGGTCAAATGTTTGCTGGGCTTGGAGTGATGCAGCTATTACTGCAACCCCTGGTGAAATTAAAAAAGAAAGGAGTTAACCCTTTCAAGTTCTGGGTCAAAGGAGCACTGAGGTTTTGAGCCAGCTACTTCAGTGCAGTGTCAGGGTTTTAATGCACCTACCAATACTCCGAATGGGTCTGAAAGTCAGACCTGAGCTGAGCTTTAGGCCAGCGAGGACAGAGGGAATAGCCTGGGAGAAGCAGAATTTAGAAGATAGCAAAGAGTCAGGGAAAACTGTAAAAACAAAAGTGAAGTGCATGGCAGCCAGTGATGTGGGATAAAAGGCTTATTTCCTGCTGTAGTCGAGGCGGGAGAGGGGAGGCTGAAGTCTGTGCAACTGTGTCTGTGTGAAAGCAGCCTGCCTTTGTGAAGAAATCAGGCCAAGAATATTTGCGGCTATGGAACCCGACATTAGGTTTTCCCACTGGCTATATCTGGGTGCAGAGACAAGTCCTGTCAGACCTACAATCTTCTTCACCTGTAAACCACCAGTTCACTGCGAGCCTTGATATCTGGAGTTTCTAGGCATTACATTCATACTTCTCTCGAGCAATACAGTGAGGTAGCAAAACAGATGACTAAAAAGGACAAGCCTCAAGCCAGCCAGGTTTAATACTGTATACATTAAAAAAAGCTCCAAGAACTAATAAGCAATAGTTGACACATGCAGTACTTTATATAGGAGGACTCCTTCCGTATTACTCAGCTTGTAGTTAGAAGCTTAATATTCAAATACATTCAAAGAGTTTAATTGAAATTACTGTTCTGTCATAACCCCAGAACAAATTTATATGTAGGACTCTCAATAAATCCTCTCCCCAGATAGTTGTGTCTTCCAGAGCAGCTACTGATTTGGGGGAAGCTAACCTGAGCTAAGAGAGATGTGAGGTTTGGACTTGCTGAGCACCCACAGCTCCTGCTGATGTCACGTAAAATGTCTCGGTTTTAGCATGCTGCAAAAGCTCCATTAAAAATTAATTTATGTCGTCTCCCGTTTCCTGGCACTAGTACATTCTCAGATGGGCTTTATTTCAAATCCTTTGTGCAGGCTGCATGAGTTAATTGATAATGCACAGGAGAGAGAAACAGCTTGTCCCTAAATGACATCCATTTAAACACTCTTGGCACACACAGAGGCAGGGTGACGGAAGGATACCTGGTGACCTCCTGTTCTTGACTCTTGTTTGCACCTTCATGTGCTGCTGTGTGGAATCCTGGAGTGTAAGTAGGTATAAACCCCCAAAATTTCTCCCTCAGCTAATTTCAAAGCCTGTTTACCCGACTAGATATACAAGGATTATGAAGTGCATTGCGGGGCATGTTTGATTAGTTTAGTCCTTGCACAGTTCAGTGCAACTGTCAGAATAAATGACTTATTCAGGGGAAAGAGGGAAGAATACACATTTGGTTAATCAACTCCATATTGCAGCAGTTCCCAAAGAGTAAATATATGCTGCATGAAACAGCAAACCAGAAAAGGCCTTTTAATGTTCACAATTCACTTGCAAAGAATAAGATTTTGGATAAGAAACCCGCTTCTGTTGTTCAGCACACACTAATCCCAGAAACTTCAGTTCATATGAAATCTGTAACTCACCTATGGCTCCTGCTGTTATTACACACCTTACTGCTGAAAATAATGATTGCAAATAGCTGCAGGTGGCAGGACTTTGCAAGCAGAAGTGCTGAGATTTCACCAATGTGAGCCCTCTTGCCAAATGTTTAATATTGCTGCCTGTCAGCTAAAATCAACGGCAAAGTTGTACTGTATTTGGTGGAAGCTGTAGCTCCTCTCAGTACCAGGTGAAAATTTCATTCTGGGGAAGATTTCTGATTCCCTTTTGTTATTAAGCCACGAGTTTGTGGATTGGGAGGCACTGGTGGGCAGAAAGGGCTGTCGGTAGCGTGTCATCCTTGTGGAGGGAGAAGGCTTTTCAAAGGGAATGACATTTGCCTACTGACAGGATACAAAAAGGCAGGCAGAAGATCCACAGTCTGTTCCCTGGTCTGCCAAATGCCCTTGAGCAATTATTTGGCTGGGACATATTTTTAAGGAAATCAAGTGTCTGAAGATGTAGAGAGCAAGTACTGAACTCCACAAGAGCATTTAGACATCTGACACCTGCTAGTTTTTATATTAATTCCTGTTTATTTTTTAAGAAGTCATCAGGGTTTCAGTGTCTCACGTCATGCCTGTATCTTTCAACAGTCTAAACAGTTTTTCAAAGCTCAGAATTTTCCAGAGGTCGCAAATCTCTCATGTTCCAAACTAGGTTTTCAGCAACTAGGGAGGATGTTGAAAGCCAAACACTTTGAAATACTGGGCTTTTAAATCTGACCTCAGGAATTTGTTTTCAAAGAAGCTAAGCATCTACAATTTTGACTTCTAATAAGACTGTGAATTCTCAGCACTTTGGAAAACCAGTCCCTTAAATGCCTTCTGCCTTAGCTCTTCCTCTGTGTACAGTTGGCCGCCTCAGGACAGTGTTCTGAGATCTGCATTAGGTATCTTTGCTTACAGAGCACTGTTTTAGGGATACTGGCAACGAGGCTTTTCTATGAATGGGCAGGAAACGTGGGCAGAAAGCGAGGTCAGACGGTGACTCCGAGGCCATCAGCCTTGGCCATCGGGGAGAAACCTGCTCCATTTGCACAGGCAGCTTAGTTCAGAGGATCAATAAAGTCCCTTCCGCGCTTAAAGCCCACTGCCTAAAACTAAACTGTCTGCCTGGCATTGTTTGCTGTTAGTGTTTTGAATGGGTGAAGAGAAGGGCAGGATGGGTGCTGGAAAGGCCAGACCTGGAGTAAATTGCTATTTGCTCTTCCTGTGGAATTTTAAAGAAACGCACTCCCGACCTTGGTTCTGACTGCAGATACAGCGAGAGACATGAGAATCACAGCTGCCTTCTTCCACCTGCTCCTGGTGCCTCTGAGCTGCTCTCACCTTGTGCACTGGACATACAAAGGTAATGAAAAATGAGGCTGTTTTGGGGTTGCTACTACTTGCTGAAGACTCTTCGATACTTTTTGTGCTACAGAAGCAACGCTCAGCTTGACTCTCTTTCCATTAGTGTGTGCTCTACACAGAGCAGCTAATTTATTCCGCTTTATTGATGCCTGTGTGACTTGAAAGAGATTCTCTTCAATGTCACCCCTTTTCACTCCTTTGTGTGGTTAGGACACATTGACAGAATTGGCAGCCCTGTAAGGTTCAAACAATGGGGGAAATCTTTACAATGTGTTTGAATAAAAGCTGACCTTTGGGTGATCCTGGAAGAAAAAGCCCTAAATGCTGCCTGCTTGTTATTTTATTGTCATACCCCATGCAGTACAGATCACTAAGAATTGCTTATTTATGTATTTATATAATTTGTTAAATTTTATCTGATTTTCATTTATTTCAGGGAGTTGTTTGCAGAGCTCATTGACTGACGTAAATGGTAGTCCTTTTATGATCTTTAGTGGGCCAGAAATTAAACTAAAACAAAGGATATTGTTGAATGGATGCAATATTCCTTATTATGTCTTAGCTCTAACTCTGTCTCAGACAGACATGACTCTGATATTGATCAATATATTGCAGTTCTGGGGCAAAGAATAAAATGTTTCCGTACTGATTATCAGTCACAACCACGAGAGAGGTGACATCGCAATTCCTACTTATCCTTGAAGTCCTAAATATAGCACTATGGAGAGGGCAAATAGCCCTGAAGGGCTCAAGCCTTTGTTAAGAGTTTGAGCAGCACCCAGACCTCTGCAGTAAAAGATTCAAATTAGGGTTAAGAGGCTTAGAGCCACTGGAAAAAGGTCTGCATCCAGCATGCCTGCTCTCCTACACATCTGCTCTCTCCACAGGCGACCACAGAAGGTTTTTAGTGTTATATGAATATACTTGTAGAAAATGATCCCGTGCAGGTGAAGACAGGGCCGTGCTGGTATTAACACTTCATGTGACCTTTAGGGGCTGTTAGGGCTGGGGGCTGAAGGGGCATCAAGAGCTCAGAGCAATCAACTGAATCCAGAATCTGGGACGCCCAGGTCCTGTTCCACACCAGGATCTGTCACATGAAAGCAATGAATCAATTTGTCATTATTTGTTGGGTGAGAAAAGGGGGTGCCAGGAAGAGGCACAGGGCTGCTGTGCTCAGGAAAGGGGTGGGCTTTGCTAATAAAAAACACACTCGGGACATCAAAGTCACCCTCAACCATTCCTATCCCAGAAAACATACAAAAGGTTCCAATTTGTTTAAACTTTTCACTTCTATTCTTCTTTTGTTAGCTCTCTCTCTAGCTAAAAATTGCAAATTTGCTGACAGTTCCTGATACTAAGCAGATATTTCCGGCTATTGCCCTGGTCCCATTTGGTCTCATACTGTGTGAGAACCTGATTCCTCATCTTGGGCTGTTGAGATCTGTTTAAATCCCTATTTCTGTATAAACATTGCTGCTCTTTCAGTGGAGGTTCAGTCTCCAGCGATCAGCAAGCTATCACTGCAATGCAGGTTTCTTAATTTGCAGCACAGTTGTCCTGCAGACAGAGTAATGTATATTTTTACTCTAGGGAAGACAGAGCAACCTCTTATTGCTGCAGCTCCTGTTGTTACAATTACTAGATTGACATGCTCTGCTGGCAAATAAGGAGAGCTTTCTGATTCCCGAGCTAACAGCACTTCTCACCACGTCCTAATAACCTGCTTTGCTTCTCCTCCCCACAGAAGGAGAGCTGGATGAAGAGCACTGGGCAAAGCACTTTGCAGACTGTGCTGGCAAGCACCAATCTCCAGTTGACATCCAGAGGAAAAAAGTGAGGTACAACCCCCAGTTGGAGCTGCAGTTGAGTGGTTATGACGGGCCTTTGCAGGGGAATTTCACCATGACCAACAACGGTCACTCTGGTAAGACTGGGGAGATCCCCTTCATTACCCACCTCAAAAGAGGAGTTGGTCGGGAAGTCACCGCTGACAAAGGAGCTGCCTGAAACAGAAATGAGGCCATAAAGCTCAAGCAGATTATTTGGTCCTGCAGCAGCTCTAGCTGTCAGCCACCTTTCTGTCAGAAAGAGATGCTCTAAGGCACAAGGAAGCAAGTGCTGCCTGTCCCCTCCAGCCCTGTCCTGCCTCCCGAGCCGTGGGCTCACACGTGCACGGATCACTGCACGCACAGCACCCTGGGGTCCCTGACAGTGAGTGATGCTGGCAGCCAAGGATCAGGGAACAGGCCAGCAGCAGCAAAGCAAAGACCTTACATTTTTGAAATGCAAATGTCTTGAATGGGAGCTCTGTCCTGAAAACCCAACCCTTTTTCCTCACGTGGTTGTTAGCATTCTGCACTGGTGAGTTCAGGATTTTATGCATCTTACCTTCCTGCTGGGACAGCTGACGGAAGAGATGCCTGACAGCTTCCCACTTTTCAGCTGTAAGTGCTGTATCCTTTAACTTTCATGTAGCTGTGGTGTATCCTCTGGAGGTTTCACCTGGGCAATGTAGGATGCACTGACTACATTGTGTTTAGGGTATAAAGGAGAGTTTCCAAGTTCAGGTACATTTTTTCCCAGCATACACAGGATACAGGAAGAGTGTTACCCTGTGTGTTGTCTCGGCACTCTGCCATAGCTAGAACATGATCATAAACCTTTAGTGGCCAGCAAGTGACACCTGAAATGCAGTGGAATGAGCCAGCTTTGCGACAGCAGCAGGCAGGCTTTTCTTCCCTGGCTGAGCAGATGTCCTGGGAGGATGTCAAGCTTGTGACAGCACAGACACAGATTATTCATTTTAGCTAATTGAAATGCTATTCGCAGAGAATGATCCCCCGCCTTTTTTCTTTTTTTAACTCACCTCACCTCGCTTTGCCGTCTCACGTCATTCTGCTCTCTTAGTTTTGCTGTTTTCCCCAATCACACAGGAAAGCTCTCTAGAAACACACGTGTAAACCACAGAAATAAAACAGTGGGCAGTACAGTAGAAATAGAATAGTGAGTGCTATTTGGGGCACATCGACTCCTCTCTGCATTCAGAAAATGCTTCTTTTGCCCCTGTGCAATAGTAAGTGATAGGAATGGAAAATGATAGTTCAGTAGCAAGTTTGCATCCGAGGTTTGGTTAGGTGTAGGTCACACAAAGTACAACACAGAGGAGAATCTCTCCCTTGTAGGCAGAGGGTTGGAGGCTTGGTATTGCAAGTCTCAGGAGGGGAAGCTGAAGCACAGCATGGCTTAAAAGCCTTGCCTTTGGCCACACAGTCTCAAGGTAAGGCTTATAATTTAGGAGGTCCTGGGATTCCCCTGCTGCAGTCTGTAATTCATTGTCTAAATAATTCATCAGCTGGTGCTGTTGGGATAATGCTTTTGGACTACAGATGAGCAATGGGAGAGTTTTCTAATAGCTGCGGTGGGGAGGTAGTGTCTGCAACATAAAGCTGGTAGTTCTTTAATCCCACACAACAGCCCTTTCTTCCTCTCTGTAAAAGAGAAATATGGTGTGAGAGCAAAGACATGAAGTGACGAGACATACTGCCTTCAGAGAAAGACTGTTATGATTGTATTTCTAAAAAAACTAACTCCTGTTTGTCTCCCACACAAGCTTAACATTCAGTTAGAAGCTCTTGTGTCAGCATTGCTACCCTGACTGCCTACAAATTAATTCCTGCAGGTTTAGCTTTCAGACCCAACTGCACGTGTGTGTTTTCCTGTTCTTTTGTTAACATCAAAACAATGATTTTTCTGATGCAGGCGTTTTAGTAAAGCACAATGGTGGGTTTTCCACTGCCTGGCAAAACTAGAGCTAAGCAAGAATAAGACACTTCCAGCTCAGAGCAGTCGAACTTTCCCCACACACTTTACACATGTGAAAAGTAAAAAGCAGACTGGGCTGTTACCTTACTTCATGCTTGCAGCAAAGTATTTGCATAAAATATCTTACAGAAGACTTAAGCTTCCCATAAACTCAGAACACAATTCTGTGGCTGTGTTTTGCAGACAGTAGACATCATAGTGATGTACTAGAGATAAGTAACCCTGGTTATGGAAGGCAGTCAGCAGGGATCTTATGTAGAAAGGTGGATGGGATTTTTTCCCCACTGCAGACTCTTTGGGATATTACGAGGAAACAAGTTTTCATCTTGTCTGTCTGTAAACAGTTTACAAAGAAAAGCAGCTTCTCACAAATCCAACTATGCCTAATGAATCATATACTGTGCTACATTTCGCAAGGATGGTTGCTATTTTTTACAGCAGTCTCTGGGCTTTCATTAGGATGAGGCAATTTCCCATTTTCAGTCCCAGGTTTGGCATATTTATTAACGTAATGTGTGATTTGTGACAGTACGTTAACAGAAAGACAAATGTTTCGTAGTCTCTTTGTGAATACTCCTTGGCAAGCAGAAGCAAAGAGATTTGTCTCTATAAATCCTTCAAGCACTAACAGAGCCTTTTCAGACTTACAGGGCTCTGGCCCAGTACGCCTGTTCCTAGAAAATGCAGAGTCCAGAATACTGGAAATTATGATGATGGCCACTCACTTTGTTGATTTCTATCCCCCTTTTCTTCCTTGGAAATAAAGTAGTTAACAAATCTGTGCAGCGCCTTGCAAGATGTGATGTACTGTGCAAGAGATTAGCATTAAAGCACTTTTATTACTGCCTAAGGAAAAACCCAGAGTTGCTCAGATGGAAAAAAAAAATATCTGCTGACATGGCTCGTGCCCAGTCATCTTTGTGCCTGGTGTGGTCTTTGTGGTGCACAAGCCTGAGGTCAGGAAGGATTTTAAGCTCACCTAGCTTTAAGCTTCAGTGCTTTTCATTGCATACTGGAGTTAGTTCTCTGAATATGACTGTGCCAGCTTATTTCAGAGAGGGTGTTATTGGAAGAAAACACCAGGCACTGTAAATGTAGCTACAAGAACAGGCATGGCTGCATCCATTGCTGTCTCCAATCCTGTTTTTCAGTTCAGATAGATTTGCCACCTACCATGCACATCTCCAGAGGGCTCCCAGGTCTCTACACGGCTGTACAGATGCATCTGCACTGGGGTGGCCTGGACCTGGAGACCAGCGGCTCCGAACACACCGTAGACGGGATGAGATACTTCGCAGAGGTACTTGTGAGCAGAGTGGGCTGGAGGGAGGGTGCCTTGCTGGTCAGACCATTGGGAAATGGGAAGCTGCAGCCCACAAAGCCTGCAGGGAGCAATGCAGAGGGAAGTGGGAGAAACGGGGCTTCCGTAAAGTGCTGGTGCTTTGTGCAGGGCAAGGACTGAGCCTGATGGTGCTGTAAACAAGACTCAAAAAAAAAAAACTGTTGCAGTAGCACTAATATCCTCCAAAGATGGATTTGTTTCTCCACATTCATTACAAACCTATTGAACCAAAGGCCTGTTTGGCTGTGCTGTGAGGCACAAGCAGCAGGAGGTGGGATGGTGACTCTCTTCAGTTCGTGTTTGGTCCTTTAAAGCACTGAGGAAACCGTTTATCACTTCTTCCTAAATTATCCTGTCTCTCTTCTGACAGCTGCACATTGTCCATTACAACTCAGCCGACTACTCCAGCTTTGAAGAAGCCAAAGACAAGCCAAATGGATTGGCTGTGCTCGCCTTCCTGTATGTGGTAGGTTTGATGCCCAGGTTGCTGAGCAAGGCCAGTCTGTGATCACAGTTTATACTGTAATAGCAGTTTGAGCAGGTCCAGGCACAAGCAGCCAGTACTGGGTTTGCACGTCTATCCTAAGAGCTGATATCTGCCACCAGTTTGAGGAAGCTGTGCTGTAGCAGAACTGCTCTTCCCTAATGTCATCTGGGGCTCACACAACACCAGCCAAAACAACTTGGGAGCCCCAGCAGTAATTTCCCTGTAAAAAGTACAGACAGATTATCAGGTGTGGCAGCTGGGTTTACCCTCTGTACCTCAAGGATTTGCTCTGATTTGCACACATGAGCACTCGATTCTGTGTGGATTTAGAAGCAGTGAAAAAAGATCCTTACAGTTAACTATTCTACCCGACCTCTATGTGTATGTATCTTATCATGCCCAGAATAGTCCAGCCCATCAAGAAATCTGCAATAATATTTGTTCTCTAAGTCTCCCAGTCCACCAGTTAGTCCCCTAAGCTGATGAGGACTACAGAAGGACAGGCAGGTCACTAACCCTTTGTTCAAATTTCTATCCTGTGTTTAGGATGGGCACTTCGAGAACACCTACTACAGTGAATTCATTTCCAAACTTGCAAAAATCAGGTTTGCAGGTAAGACCTAGGAGTGCCTTTCTCTATCCTTGATATTCTGAAAGCCTGTATGTATGCACTGGGTCCGGGGACAGACATTTTGCTGCTGCTTTGCTTGCAATTATGTGTCTCAGCATCCTCAGCCATGCCTAACTTCATGCCATCCCTGCCCATGCCATCTCCAACAGCAGCCCACATGGCAGCGTGATGTGGAAGGTGCTCGAGGCAGCAGTAAACATACTCCTGGTGGGTCTACGTGAAACACTCAGCACCATCAGAGAACAACCTGCTACGATCCTGCAGTCTGTACGCCCAGGTGTCAGGGGCTCTGCTGCCAACCCCAGCTCTAACACCACTCTCGCCTTTCTCTTTGTTCCCTGTTCATTGTCAATATTGCCTCTCTGTTTCCTTTTGAGGTCAATCTACAAAGCTTATTTCTCTGGATGTCCAAGCCATGCTGCCAGAAAACCTCTCACACTTCTACAGGTACCAGGGCTCACTAACGACCCCTCCTTGCTCCGAGAGTGTGATCTGGACCATCTTTCATTCTCCAATTGTCCTGTCACACACACAGGTAAGTAATAACTTTACCAGACAGAGCAGCTTCACCTTTCCATACAAGTTTCCTTTTATGTTCCGTGATTTTTTTTTTTGGAAACAGCCTGACAGAGGAGCTAATAGGGCATTTCCTAGACAGAGCTTTTGGGATAGACTCCTAAGCTACTGGAACTACAGGTGGCTGTAATGACACCGTGTTTCTGCCTCACAGCCAACAAGGCAAAAAACCACGGCGAGAGAGTCCAGCGGCCCAAGACCCCAAACATAATAGAGACATTCATTACATTAAAATAGTTACAGAATAATTCACACATTTTAAGAAGAGTATTTTGGGGTTTTTTTTCTTGTCTATACTCACATTGTACAGCTAGCTTGGAACATTTCAGGAGGAGCCTGCTGTGAGTCTTGGCTGTGTGACAGGAGAGGGCTCATCCAGGCTCCCCCTGACGCGTTACTGAGGACCTTGTAGAGGGCACAGAAGCACTGGGCAGTGACCTCACATGTCCCAGCAGCTGCACACCATCACATGGCAGGATCCCCTTCTCCCTGTCTGCCTTGTCAGGACACAGGCTTTAGCAGAGAGAGAAAAAAAGGTAACACAAGTAGAATAAGCTTACTGTTGAGTGTTGCAGGGTGGTTCATCTTCCCTAATGAAAAAGAAACATCAGAAACATTTTCTTCTAGGAGAAGAACAAGGTAAAGTGGAGACTACAGTAGCAGAGGATCACAGTGTGTTCTCATTTGAAAAAGAAATAGTCTTTTTGACAGGGCGAAGGCTAGTAGGCTCTTGTAAGAAAGGAGTATGCTACAGAACAGCTGCAAAAATCTCCATCCATCCATACTCTCAGGCAGGTGTTAAAAGCTTCCTTCAGGCAAAATATCTTTGTTATTAATTAGCTGATAAAAGCCCTCACATTCTGTCCCTTTTCCTCGCTAATACTCAGCGAGACAGCCAGTGGGTTCCTCTGTAACAAATTGTTTGATGCTGAGCTGCAGGAGCTGCACTGCACTTCTAGGCAAAACTGTTGTCCCCGTTGCCCCTCTCCGTGATCAGCCTGTGTTGCTCACAGATCAGCCTCCTGGAGAACACCTTGCTGGACTGGCAAAACAGGACGCTGCGCAACGACTACCGGCACGCCCAGCCCCTCAACGGGCGGGTGGTGGAGTCCTCCTTCAGAGCCAAACTCACACAAGGTAAAGGGAGCCAGGAGGCAGGACAGGCTTTCCCCAGGGAGGTGTGAGAGACCTATGTGGAAGGAGTTAAACTGTAAGTCCCTGACGCTTGGCACGCTGCAGATCACCTTTCCCACGAGCAGCAGTGGGAGGTGGTCCATGGTCCTCTTTGCCCCAACACATCTTGCTTCTACGGGTGCAGTGGTAGCTGTAGGTTGTACACCAGCCCTTTGCTTTGCCTGCAATGGTGTCACACAGATCTCCCAAGGTAAAGAGTACCAGGATCCAGGTGTATCTGCATCCATACGGATGAGTTACACTGACCTTTGTAGAAACAGCCCTGGCATGGCTGGTCCACCAGGCACCATATGGAGGTGAGATGCTGCATTTAAAAACAAAGGTTTTTACCCAAACCTTCTGCAAACTAGAAAGCAGAAAGTCTCCCATGTGCAGGTCCTGGTCTTCTGTACATTCAGCTGTCTGATTGCTCTAGAACAATGCCATCCAGAAGAATTCCACCTCAGACTGGAAGAAATCCAGGTGCAGCTCCAAGACATGAGGCGGGAGTTGCTGAATGGACTGAGGCACACAGGTAAGAAACACACACCTATTCCTGAGTCCAGCTTACCTTGCGAGGATGACGAGCCCATGGTCAGCTGTCCTTGATGGCTGAAATCATTAACACCTTTGGTACTGACACAGGCAGGTAGACTTTTGTCCCCTATCTCAGGCT